GCAATTTGGAGGGGGGGGGGGTTGGGATAAATAGGGAATTTTTCCCTCATTTCTTCTGAGATGACAGTCTGAAACCAACAGCATGACTCCCTTGTAAGTTCCTGCATCAGTAAATTATTTTCTGTTACAACCGTGAGGCATGAATAAAATATTGTACTAAAAAGACCCCGATTCGCTGGTCACTCACGTCTCATCCCTCGAAATCATCCTAAGAATCTTTGCAGCAATGGACTCCGGCTGCTTCGTTTTGTCAGCTGCCGATGGCGGGCCACAGTTGTTCATGAAAGATCTGTGTCAAAAGTAGAATGGTTACTTTTAATTACAAGTAGCAATGTTTTCTTGTACTTAGTGGAGTTAAAGAACTGAGGGGTCGCATATCGAAGAAACTGCTCACACCATGGTAGGGGACATCATGAATTAAAGCCCCAACAGGGTTGTTAGAAAAAATTGAAAACGAAAGCAGCGTAAACCAACTCACACGTCTGGCTGCTCCCACTTCAAGCCCAAATGCTGCTCCGTAATTACGCGATCTGCATTCAGCAGCCGCTGCGCCTCAATTTTCATCTCGTCCTCATTCATGAGCCAGATGTCACGATAATTCCGATCCTCCGCTTCGATCAGAAATCTACAAAAGAGAAAATTCTTACGGAGGCGGACTAGGTTTCCTTCGATTTTGACCCTTCAACGCATAGAGCCTCGAGAGATTGCTCAAAAAATTGGCAAGTTTAGCTTCAGGTTTTCATTTGCTAATTGTATTCCGTTTCAGAGAATTAGCTGGGTCTTCGGATAAGAAAGCGATAGGACTGTCTTTGTAAGTCCTATTTGCTTTTGACTTATAATAATAACCTTCCTTTACATTTCAATAGTCCGACTTTCCATTTTTTCTTCTAAATTCCGCCAATAGAAGGTCGAATTTCCATCAATGGGCATCAGTTGCCTAAACAGCAGGAGTTTATGTTGATGGAGTTGATGCTATTTAGCTCATTAGAACAACTATAAGTGGTATTAATTTAATATTCCTTGATCAATTTCAACCTAGTTAAATATTAAATTACATTCGTTAACAAGAATTAAGTTTTAACTACAAATTCCGTAAGACGGCTGGGCGCAGGGAATAGATATTTAGGCATCTCTACAAGAGAGCTTTGCTGAAAAGGTTAGAGGGTTGCTGTAAAGTAAGAATCCCACCCTAAAACAGCTCCAGGGACGAAATCGAGATCAATAAAATAATATAAGGGGGATTCGAGTTAAAAAAAGAAATTAAGCAACCAATCAGTAGTAATTAGGGGGGGAGGTATTCAGCGATCAAAGGGTCAGATACTTGCGATATTTGCGAGGGCAGAGACAGTCCCCACACGGCTAACTAACACGCAGAAGGTGCTTGTGCAGACACTAAGGCTCACGTGGCTGAAGACCACTTCAATATCTGTTCACACACTTCCTACCACGCTGCGAGACGGCGACAGCATGCATCCCCATACCGCACAAACCGTCACCAGGCTGTGACACCTTGCGTCATGACGCCTTCCAACCCGATGTGAGACATGGACGACGGGATGACATGAACCCCTTCTCCCCCTCCCCTCTCTGGTCCCTAATTCTGACTAGAATCCAACCATTTGATTCTTGACCATCTCTCCCCCCTCACCCTGATAACTACTGATTGGTAACTTTAACTTT